GCTAGTTATGCTAAATATGCATAAACTTTAGTATAGTTTAAGCAAAATTTATTTTTATAACCATTGAAGTTATAATAGTTAGGCGTAGTATTACTTAATACAAAGAATTACTGCAGAAGTATTGCTTAAACCCAGTTTAAGACTTAATTCTTGATAGGTCTAGTAGAAATTGATCGGTCTTGTATATAATTAATTTACTAACTACATAAACTAAAAACATTATCCTGTCTAACTTCAATGACAGTAAAATTAATACGACTCAAGTAAATTTAGTTCAACTGTACAGTATGTTTAGTACAAGTTTTTAATAGTCACACTCAGTGGCGGCTGTACCTTAAGTGCACTCGTGCGCTGAACCACCAATTCAAAAGATTTAAAAATTACAAAATATTACTTCATCTTTATTTTTAAATTATCATTTTAATATTTATTTTCTAAACATACAAAAACGTATAAAAAATTAAATTTCTAATTATAATTATATAATATATAATGTTCTAATTATATAATATCTCGTGCGCTTCGGCGAGTGCACGAGGCCTGCTAATACATCTTGTATGAGATACGCATCAATACGCCTGACGCGTGAAACAAAAGATCGTTCATAGAAATGTACCGAGTAATGAGTCGGTTCTCGAGCGCCGCATGAGCGACCGAAGATTACCGAGAGCACCCGATGTATGATGAATTGGAATTGAAAAGAATCAAAACTTTTCTACGAAATACCATGCACTTGCTAAATGCACTTTCTGTGCTTAGTATTGAATTTAAAAAATATACAAACAATACCCGATTTTAATAAATAGGTGATTGAACATTTCGCTTCGGAAAAATGTCGTTGCAGTAATTAATGTATAAAAAATAAACATATTATATGTCAATTATTGTTTTGTAGCATTTTCTAATTTTAATATTTTAGTAAAGTGCACCACCAGTTTGATAACCCACCAGCCGCCACTGGTCACACTACTCACGAAGCGTCAACAGTTTTTCATTTATAAATTGTCGCACATTATAGTATAACAATTTATTTAATGAGAAACGTGAAACGATTCGTTTGCAGTATGACGATCTAAACTTGTGCTAAGCATACATATGTATAACCACATTGGAAATAATATAGATATAAAATGGTTTTTACTAGATATAGATTAGATAAAACATTTCAAGAAAAATATGAAAACACATCTCGTAGTGTTATTCGGAATAAATTTTGTAGTATGACATAAAATACTCTGTCTTAAAGATAAAACTTAGTTTACACGTTGTAATTTAAAACAATTTCTTCTATTGAATATAAATACATATAAAATTTACATTTTATCTTTAAACCTTTTCTTTTTCCACATTGCGTGATGATTTAAATGCAAAAAAGGCTCCTATCCTTGCATCAGGCTTAATCTTCGTTTATAATTCATTAAATAAACACGCGAGAAATTTTTGCGTAACAATAAATCATAAATAAACATAAATTGTGTTCCGGATTAGACAACGCCTGCTATAACATAGAGGCAATTTAATTCGGAACGCGTATACAGCTGTTGTCAATTGACCATATCTAAAAACAATAAAATATAAACGAAAACACATTACAATCAATAATACTATTAAATATTCAATGTTCCAAATGTAAGTAACGCTTCCAACTTTTACTTCAAGCTATAGATCACGATAATAATGCCGTTTAGTCTAACACTAAAAGATGTCCGTATAAAAAAGGCCTAAATAGTTTTAATGAGAGGCAACATTCGCAAAACATTTGGCAGAATGGCCGAGTTTCTCTTGCTATTGGGAAAGCAGCAAAAAAAGTGAAAGTGTATGACAGAGACAAGAATACACGAATGACATCTGCCAAACAAGGACAGATAACACCCACAGATAAAAAAAGATAAATTATTGAAAAAGGTTAACAATATTTAAATGTATTCTTTATTTGTAGATAAACAATGCATTGACGGAAGATTACGATAGGAATTTTATTCGTCATTTATATATGTATATAGGTACATATAATATATGATATAGATATGATATACTCCCAAAATATTTAAAAATATAGACAGTACATTTTCCAAAGAAGTTAATTTATTATCCAAATAAAGTCTGTTATAGTTACCTACTTATTTATCAAGAAAATAAGAAAGTCAAAGTAGAAGATAACTATAGACACTGAAATAAAATAGATACTTAATACACAAAATTACCCATTGGAGAGTGTTAAGCAGTTGTTTTTAAGTTTTAAAATTCTGTTGTTAACTTTTAATGAAAAAATTATGGACATCTATTTGGTTCGTTCCTGTTTGTGCACTCTCAACCCGTATGTTCCAATGATTTGAATTTTTCAGTATTAACCATACTTGTGATTTCATGGAACAATTAAAAAATCCACTCGCACAAATAGAATTAATATATAAGCACTAGAATAGAAATGCATAAGATAATCCTGACCTTAAAAATGTTTTCTTGTAAAATCAATTGTTTTCATACAAATAGGTATAATATGGTTTTTAATTTCCAAAATATAATTAAAATTTTAGTTATTGAGGTTTGGAACAATCATATTCATAGAAAAACATACAGTCCATTAGTAAGAAAAGATTTTAAATTGCAAAAAATTATAACATGTAATAAGCTTGTATCTAAATGTTATTATCAATTGAAAGATTACCCGCTTTAAAGTATTCAACCTCTTACAATATAAAATAATTAACTTTTAACCTTAATTGAGATTAAGTAATGTAATGCATTACAATGAAGCAGTCTTAATATATTTATCTCATAAAATGGTTGGAGATTAATACCAAAAATTAATTAAATAAATTACAATAAAAGGTTAATATTTGGCAATAATTAAGTTTCTATTCCATTAACAAATATTTATTTATATTAATTTACATATGAATTATTCTAAATAAAACTCGCCGGAGCTATCTTTAGACAATGACATTTCAGGATTTGTGATATTTATAAATAATTTGAATAAATTATATTCTATTTATATAATTTATAGCAACATGACATATTTTAACTGTTATTATATTTAGATAAACAATTAAGTGATATTAAAAGATACAGCTATTTTTTGTTATAAAATTTATAAATATGTTAATTTATTAAAATTACTCTATTGCTTACAACTTTAGAATGATAAATTAAGGTATTGGTATAAACTATTTATTTGTTTTTCAATATCAAAGATACTAAAAAATAAATGACTTAATCAAAACAATTATTTCTATGGAATATTACTATCAGTCATTGGTTTAAGTAAGTGACAATCTAGTTCTTAATATATATTTTTAAAAAACCCTTTCCATACAGTGACTGTTTAAAAATACTCATAAAAGTTTTCATTAATAATTACAGAGAAATAGGAACAAATTCATATGTATGTATTATTGAGAGATATTAAATTGAAAATAACTTCATACCAGTAAACATTCCTCTCACACTAATAATAGCTTTTATCTCAACTAAATTGTTTATTTACATATGGTAACGATAATAATGCAGTTCCTAGATCTCTTCTAAATATTTAACATGATATGTTCAAATGTTGTCAATTTGATTACATAGGACTTAATACGACTACAATGTTTCTGAACTTAAGACAAATAAATCCACTCATAATAATAATTAATTATTATGAAACTTCCTGCTATTCCTAAGTCGCAGTATACATGCATAGCTGCGTTAGAATAATATATCATATAATTAAATTACTATTTATCATTTATCAATGAGATTCAAGATAAAGATGAAGTTTATACTTTATAGTTCTAATCTCGGAAAATTTTAAGAAATCAATAAACGGAATATCTGTTTACATTAATATTAAGTTTAATAAATTTTAAAATCATTTAATTACTATTGTGTTCATATGATATTATTCTAGAGAATTATTTGATGGGAGAGTAACTTAAATTATACTTTATTGTGTGACGAACTTTTAAGACTTATATAGGAATACAAATGAATCATAATTGCTGAAATAAGAATAAAGAAATGATGACCCGACCTATTTATAATTTAGTTTAAATAAATAAAATTTTGAATAATTTTCTTTTCATTTTAATTATAACAATTCAATTTGAGCTAATTAACTTTGATTTCAAGTATAATAAGAAAAGACAAATAGCAATTAATGTTTTAAAATATGAGTTTTTATCATATCTAATCTAATCATGATTTTTCATATAATTGATATTTCAACAAATATTAATGATTCATTGTTAAGTAAACAAGTAGATTTCACATATATTGAGTGTACATTAAAATCATGATGTTTTAAACAAAATAATTAACTGTTGAAAAAGTATATAAATATGAAATTAAACAATAAAATATGACATGACAAAGATAGAGTGACAGATTTGATAAATTTATCATAAATTCATTGTTAATTTAAAACTGTTTATGACAAAATTTAATAACATATTTATTTATTTGTATGGAGAAATGAAATTAATGGATAAGAAGTATTGAAAAACCTCCCAAAATTTTGTTAACAATGTGTTTATAACACAACAGGCTGTAAAATATACAATAAATACAGGGATATTGTAAAACAACGAAGATTTCGCTTTTTCCCTTTTACCAAATGTTTAAAGCATATTAATCATATGTTTTATTTGTTTATTACAATAATACAATCAAGTCATATAAAGTTTAGACCATAATATGTGCTAAGTAGAAACAATGAAGTCATAAAAATGTGATAAAAGATTTAAATTTTGATTGCAAAGCAGTTCTTATCTAAAGGAAGTACAAATTGATGATGTTAGTGCAGTCTGTGTAGCAGTAGGTAGACAGAAAAAATAGAAACAATTAGTGATTCACTCACAACAAAGGCTAACGACTAGAAAAACATTTGACATAATAAGCCTACCGACTAAAAACAACGCAATACGTTTACATATCAAGGTAATTTATAACAAAAACTACGATTGTCATTGCATTCTAGCATGTTACGAGTGGAATTGTTTTTACTTTTGACATACCTTTGGTTTGTAGAACCATTTTCTGAGAGACTCCATTGGTCCACTTTTGTATAACAGCCTCATATGAACAGATCACTATATGAACACACTCATTATAAAACTATAGATCACTAAAAATCACCATGCAGATGCAAACACAATAGGAATTTTGCCAATATTTACGTCAAACAACACAAAAGGCAGACATGTTCCACAAATCGCGTTCACGTTTGAGAGTAATGAATGAAATGACCGAGCAACTATTTGCTTCGCGAACGTCATACAATTTTCCCATTCTATTGTTGAACATTGAACGATGAACATATTTTACGGATACTTGTACTAGAATTTGATCTCTTTGAAAACTTTGTGGTAAAATAAAATAATAATAATAATAAAACCATTTTAATCACAAACAATAATAAGCTTGATAAAATCATAAAGTAAATAGAATTATTTTGCATTTATATGCCCGTTAATTATTATTCGTTGATGAAATCCAAACTTTGTATTTCTATTTTGAACCGGCTAAATATTTTTCTATAACATATCATTTAAAAGTTTAAAAACATGTCAAATTGTTGCCATAGTAAGAGCATTTGTCATTTTAAATATTTAAAAATATCTATGAAGTCGATTATTGTTATTTGTAATGAGTTCGTCAAGGACAGACTATGCACACGATGTCGAAACCATTCGAATGTCATGAATCACTTAAAACTTCACAAAATGATGATTAATAGTGTAATGAAACATAATTAGTTCGTTCTTCGATACTCGTAATAGAATATACTATTTTAGAACCAGAGTACGGATAGTTTTTTTTTAATTATAAGTATTTTAAGCTTATTTAAAGTATATTTTGGAATTAATACATACTTTATATAAATATAATATATGTATGTATAAATAGGATGTTGTTTTTTTATTTTTCAAAGGCGCTAAACGAGCAAACAGCTTACCTGGTGGAAGGTAGACACCGTCGCCAATGGACAACTGCAAAAATGGGATTTTATTAATGCGTTGTCGGCTTTGATTGTGGGAGAGGGGGAAGACAGGATAAGAAAAGGGAAATGGCAAGAAAGAATGGAGAAAAAAAGGGAAAAGGCTATCCGGCTCTCTCACTCATTGGATGACACTAAAGACTATTTCACGCCGACCTTCTATGATAGGGTGGTTCCTCCCCGATCGAGCCAGCCGATGTTTGAGATGTACCTACTTAACCACAGCTGGGCCTTTTGTCATTAAAATATTGAATTAATTGTTTTATGTATATGTTCTCAGTTCTGGAGAAAACATTTTAAAATTTGCCTTTTTGTCCATGAAGTTTTATTGATAGTAATAGATTTTAAGCAATAATTTCACACAAGGATACAATATTAACATTTCAAATTTCTATATAATTAATATACTCTGATAAAAAGAAATTATATGAATAAAACTAATACGTTAAAATATATTGGTGTGAAAATAGGAAAACAAAGTGAACAATTATATGATAAAGCTTGACTTGAAATTCAAAAGTAGTTAATACTTTGTTCATTTTTAGTGAAAATATTTAAAGTAACCAACCGCCAGCGCCATCTATCAATAACCCAGCCAGCTATGTTGTGGGTCACATGACTTGATACAAATTACTACTTCTATTTTCAATCAAAAATATACCATATAGAAATTTATCAGAAGATCTATCTTTTTAAGATGTCATGAATTATATAAAAGATAAGTTTTATTATATCTTTTTAATTAGTTTTTAACGTATAAAAGAAAAAAACACATATGTATATACAAGAAGCCTTCTATTTCAAAGTATTTCACAATACTAACACTGTGACAGTTGTAGATTTTGTCAATAATAATATCGTTTTACTTTCTTTAAAGATCAAGAAAAATATCGTGCTACTATCAATATACAATAACTTTGATAACAATATTTTGTTTTGTTGAAGAACAAAGGTATCGATATCCCTTTAAATGAAGCCAAAATCTTTTGGAGTTTTTTATTTTGTCGAGGTGAAAAAGTATCCCATCCCTACTTATATTATATATGCGAAAGTAACTCTGTCTGTCTTTCTGTCTGTCTGTTACGCTTTTACGTCTAAATCACTGAACTGATTTTAATGAAATTTGGTACAAAAATAGAGTTGACCTTGAGAAGGAACATAGGATAGTTTTTATCCCAGATTTTTAAAAGGTCCTCTTGGAAACGCGATATAACCGAACTCCACGCGGGCGAAGCTGCGAGCGGAAAGCTAGTAGACTATAAAATGCTCTATAGTATAAAATGGACGCCATACCGATATAAACATACATTTTACAAAAGTTATAACACTATTTTTACATTTGCAATGACATCATTGTGTTATAAAACAATGTCTGCTTTTAAGCATTTCTTCATCAGACAGTACCATAGCTATCTTTTTTCAATCTTCCGATTTTATTTAAATTTTTACGAAGTTTCCAACGACCTTTTCATATCCTTTGTGTCAAAGCGGGTTAAAATTAAAACAACAATAATAAAATTCACTGTAATTCGGTAACCGTTCAACCATTATAGCTAATTAATCGAAAGTCGTTTAACGGTTTTTTTATAGACTTATCGGAAATTTGTTCGTGTTATAATTTACTAAATTTAAACAATTTCTTTTACAGTTATAGTTGAACATTGAAACAGTAAATTTAATGACGTCATTCTTGTACTTAAGGAACTCGGAATTAAAAGTCACCGATATAAAATGTTTGAAATACATATTTGTCTTAAATATTGTAAAATTTGAAATAATAGGGTCATTTTATTAAAAAGTAATGAAAGTTGCAATGTGACATCTATTTATATAAAACCTATTTTGCTACGCCCTCGTAAATTAAATAAATATAAATATTACTTAGTTTTATTTGTATAATCTAATTGAAATTAAGAAGATATTTTTCCCTTTAATTTGTGATAAAATCGATGGTAAATTAATAAGTTCGATCCTAATTTAAAGGTTATTAATTAAGTTCATTCATGGAGTATTGAGACATAACAATTAGTTTGTGATTACAGAGCGAGAGATATTCTCCGAAACATTGATCTATTGAACTAGATATTCCTTATATTAAAGTTTATATACACTAAATAATATATTTTGAAATGGACATAACAATAAATAATAAATCTTTGCAATATTATATATGTAATGATCGTAGGTAATAAGATAAAAATTAGATTCCTGATTTTAGTCAGAATACATTCAATATATTGAAGCTTATTAGTGAATAATACTCTTAACTACCATTTTTTATATCTTTCATAAGTCACAGATAAAGTTTCAAAAAGAGGTCTAATCCTTTCCTTTCTTCTCTCTTAACCCTAATTTTCTTGATTCATGTCGTCATTATGGTAACAATCTTCCAGTGTACGTTACCACTTCACTCGAAAAAATATTTCGTTAAAATTTATTTTCCTGCCTAAATATTTTCAGGTTCTTCTGAACCCTCGAACGGCACCAGTTACTTCATTAGATGGTTCTAAGAAATCAAAAACTATCTTTAGTTATTTGATTATTCAGCCTGAAAAATAACCTTCCTAAAATAACTTGATCTTATTTGAGGTAAAGTTGAGGTTCTCCAACTGAACTGAATCTGAACCACATGTTGTGGTTATCTCGCAAATATTCGCTACAATTGATTGCTTTAATTTATTGAAATAATTTCTAAGTACTCTCTAGGACCAAAATTTGTATTGCTCATTATCTGTTCTTATTTAGGAAACTGGCTGTAAAGTCAGGTATTTTGGGCCATTAGTTTTCTTTGTTGTCTTATTCTAGAAAATCTTTATATCCTTCAACTAAATATTGCAGTCTCATCCTGTCTCCCACACCACAGTAGAAGCATTCGACGTTGGAAAATACTTGACAAAATTCTATTCTCATATACGTACACTTTTTTGGTTTGATAATAATTAATACATCTATGTATGTACATATATATATTGTTCACGCTAAGATGACTCTAAACTAATGAAGAGGACATTACTAAAGAAGATGGTTATCAAAGTTAAGACGGATCTGCTAGTTATCTGTGGACCGAAGTTTTTCACAGGAGCAGACGCAATATGATTGCTGGCCTATGATTGTTCCAGTCTATAACAAAAACTCACCTTAAGGAAACATACTAGTAGTATATAGTATGTATGAAGAACTAGTATTGATTCACTTGGTATATAAAGTTTAGTGTATTTGGATTGTAAACAGAAATATTTTCGCTGATCCTGGTATAATAATGGTTCGCTATGACGTCTCTAACAATAATGAAGTTTGTTTCGTTTAATTCTTGAAGACAACTTTTGATAACTTTGTATTTGGACTTTAAAACTATTTTTATATTAGGTTGGTGCGTATGAAATGTCGGATTCTCTTTACATGCGGACGTTTGTCTCCCTGTTTTCGTTATACTTTTGTCTTTGGCATAACCTCCTTCATAGTCGTATTGTCCATTGCCAGAGACTCATTTCAGCAAAATAGGTTTTCTCGAATGTCTTCCCTTTTGTTATTTCTTTTGAGTTTATTGCCGATATGAATTCTGCCGACATTCGCGTCATTTTCTTATATGAGTACAAACTTGGTAATAGTGCTGCAAAAGCTGCATGCAACATAAACCAAGCGTTTGGGGAGAATACGGTTAACGATCGGAAAGTGCAGCGTTGGTTCGAAAAATTTTGGACTGGCGATTTTTCACTGCAAAATGAGCCGCGCGGAAAACCCAAAACGTCTGTGAAGAATGATGACCTGAAGGCTCTAGTGGGAGCGGATCCAGCCGTATCCAAGAGAGAACTTGCTATAAGGATGAAAGTTGACCATACAACGATATTGAGACACCTTTCTGAGATTGGCAAGGTTAAGAAGATGGACAAGTGGGTACAACGCTCGGCCGCATACATCGCACAAAACAATTGTGAAACGGAACGAACTGGAATATGAAGTTTTGCAGCATCCACCATATTCACCGGATCTCTCGCCGACGAATTTTCATTTTTTCAAGCATTTAGAGCTGTTTTTAAGGGGCAAACACTATGAAAATGAAGACAGTCTAAAAAACTCGATATCAGAGTTTATTAATTCTAAAGACCAAAGTTTTATTAAGACAGGCATCTACGCTTTAAAATCTCGTTGGGAGAAGTATATTGAAGCGAATGGAGCATTTTTTGATTGAATAAACAGCTTTTGAAGAAAAATATGCAGTTTTATACAATCACTTAAGAATCCGACATTTCATATGCACCAACCTAATATAAACACTATTTATAAAATTTAAAATCACACTACGTTAGTGCTTATTAAATTTATTATATTAAAAATCTTGTCACATTATAGTATTCAAAGAATATAACGAGTAAGTATGAGGCAGGTTTGTACAAAGAATACTCTTGTTAAATTCTATTAAACAAATTCTGTATAATACTTATGACACTTCCAGAACTATTGATGTTGAATTTAAAATTAGTTACAGTAATAAATGTACTGATTTTTTTAAGGATCACAAAAGATTCTATAATAAATAGACTATTTATTATTGAGAAAATATATAAATACTTATAATAGAATTTAACAAATAAATTAATATTTTATGTAGGGTTACAATTAAATATATTAGCTGTATATTAAAATAACCCTCAATATTAATTTACCAAAGAAATGTTAAAGGGTTAACAATCATTTTCAAGGTATTTCCATCTACACCAATAATTATTTTAATACAATTAAATCTATACAGAGGTCAATTAATGTCATTAAAGAAACAATTTGTACAAATTGATATATAATTTATGAATATGTTTTTGAATATTTATATAAAGACATATATATTTATTCTTATTAAATTCTTTCAAGCAACGTAGTGTTTTGAAATTAAAACACCTATGAAATCTATTACACAATGATTTTAAATAAGTTATATTGATATAACAAATATTATCCCGCTTTCTTTACGTTTTTATTTACATGTATGTTATTTTAGCGTTATTATAGAATAATTAATGTCTTTATTATATAATTCTTATATATATTATGTATTAATAAACTATAAATATATAATAAATTAAGTGGATGTTCAAAATAGTATCCAACGTTGGTGACGTAGCTCGGGCGCGTATAAAAGGGATGATTCCCGTTTCAAGAGAACAGTTCAGCCTCGATTGTGCGAGTTGACGAATTAAAATAATATTAATATATAATATTAGAACGAGAAAATTATACCAGGTAAATATTTGTGAAATTTATTACATATGAATGCTTTATTATATTTATTCATTTATTTTATAATATTTATTTTTTCACCTAGTTTTTCAATTTATATATATATAATATTTTAACATATTTCTTAATTAAAGCTAATAACTGTTAGCTCTTAAATGAAGAATTTTAAATTTTAAAATAATAATAATTATTAGGTATTTTTAATACTTTGACTTCAATTTTTTTTTCTATGACATTTAATATTATTGATTGTTGGTTGATATTGGTCATTTATAATAATATATTAGTACTTTATAAAACAGAAGATTAAGTCAGAGTATCTCTTGTACATTTCCTAGATGTAAATTATACGAACATATAAAAAGAACATTGATAATCAAAAATATTTTTTATAAAGTCTTACCTATATAGATAATAATTTAATATCTCTTTACATATAATATTAACTTTAATTATTATTTGATTATTTTGAATTATAACTAATTAATTTTTTTATGTATAAATTCCAAATTAAAAGAAGGCTAATCTAACTACAAAAATTATTTAATATCATAACTTGCTCTCATTAAAGCCTACGCAGAAAAAGCTTTTATTACAATTGCATAGAAATTTTCAGATATCATATATACTGTTAATTATGTATTTATATATATGTACATCAGTTATTTGTTAATTCTATAAACACTTCTTCATTGTATTAACATAAAAAAGCCGTAGCTAATAAAAAATATTTACATGATATAGTAACGAACTTTAAATTTATTTAGCAAACAAAACATTCTTTAATATGAATAAAGTGAAATCACACATAAAAAATATATGAAGATCGTCCATCTACGCTACGTATTCCTTTTAAGATAAAAAGGCATATATCAAAGGCTTTAAATCGTTTTATTATAGATAGGCATTATCTTCTTGTGGGGCAATTCATTACTCTTATCAAAGTAAGTCGGAACCTGTATTGAACCAACCAACTAAAATCTAAATAACTCCGTATAATAATTTAATACATTCCCTTCAGATGCGTAACAAAATTAAGGTGATTCCATACAAAAAATACATATATAATTTATATATTATCAAATTTTTTATTAACTTAAAATAGACATTAAGTGTTGTTAATCCTACACTTATAAGTAATGCGACTATAACGAGCAATAATGTCGTCGTTCATTGATATATTTATTTAAATCAGAATTAAATATATTCATATGTGAACGTGCCGCTAGAAAAACAATATCAAATGAAAATAAAACTAACGAACCGAACGTAGAGGTCGTTACTGAGCTTCAAATGACATGTTGTTATCTTTATTGAGTAATAGGATATGAAACTATATTGAATATCGTTTTGAATACGTCACCATTTATATTTACTGATAGTAAGGTGTTAGACGTATAAATCATACATATATGTACATACTAGTTTTTGTGCGCAATGCTACCCTCGTGTATTTGGGAATTTGATTCAGTGAGGAACATATACATAGTTTTGGAATGAACCGGTAGCGACATCTATTATCTGTCTCACGAGACTTCATACACAATACAACTGGAATGAAGTGACGTGGGAATACTGGGATACATGATATGTCCTGTCTTAATCTATAGTGTAAGCTATATTGCCGTAAAGTATGTATAATTAAAAACCGTTCCTAAGTTTTTGAGTAAAAGAGTGACAAGCATCCATACATATACATAGTCATTACATAGAAGGATTATGATGGATTCAGAGAATTTTATTAAAATGTTATTTTGATGTTACGAGATCTTGGAATTTTAAATAATTCGGTTAATTTATTATAAGCAATATACAGTGTGAAATTTGTTTTCCAACGTTTAGTTTGCATCCTTACTAACTTGTTTAAATCGTCACGTTTTATGTGTACCTAATTATTCGTTCTCAGTTTCCCTTCATAAGTTTATGATTATAATATAATTTGTTTGTCTTAGAACGTTTCAAATGTGAGTATTTAATTCTTTACATAAACATGATCGAACAAAAAGCTTAGACGTCAAAAGTAAAAAAAATGCAAAATATATTACATAGTTTAATAGATAAATGTAAATAATAAGACAGAAATTAAAGAAACTTGAGCATCTTTTGCTGTAAATCCTGTATTACTGACATTTATTATTTATTTATAAAGAAACTTAATCGACATACTACACGGTAAACCCGTCTTCAACTGAATACCATTGTGTTGAGTATAAAGGGGGTTTTGTTCATATTTTTATTTTTATAATATTGACCTCAAAGAAATTCATACTGTGAGCATATTGGTTAACAGAAAAATCTCCACTTGAGTACTGCTCTAGAATTCGCAGAAATAAAAACTTATTAAGACTTGATCATTTCTAAGAAGGTAATTTTTAATTCAAAAGAGGTTAATTAATTTAAGGAGAATTTTTATGACAGAATGAAATAATTACGTTATTGCAAAGAAATTAATTGAGGGGAAATTGCTTGTGAGTTTTTTTTTCAGAAAGATTTCATAAGGATCTAGATTCGAAACATGAAATTTATAGCTACATAATATTTTTTTATATATTTCAACTAACATGACTTATACGTTTCTTAGTACCAAATAGAAAGCCATTTATCCACAAAACGAACAAGATGTTCTCAATTTTTTAAATAATCAATTGCAAGCCTTCTACGAATCAGTCTAATTACTTGGTCCTTTGTCTAACGATGCTTATTGGATTAAAGTACAAAAAGAATCTTAAAAATCCCTAATTTGAACGAAAATTTACACAAACAAATAAGTGTTTTAGATATAGTTAAATTAAAATATTAATTCACTGGTTTTTGCCTGCGACTTACTCAGTTCAAATATTGGATCATCTAGTGTCTACTTCAACTAACTTCATAATTAATCATTATGCCTTAATAATGCTACTAAAAAGAATTTGGAGACAAATTACAGTCTCTGTCTTAAATTAACGTCTCAGTTACATATAGTTCATCAAAATACTTAAGTTTAGTAGCTTTTGTTTGAAAGACCAACAAACTTCTATAATATACAATCATCCATACATTCTCAGTCTTTGTGATTTTTAATATTAGTAGGTTCATTTAAGTACATATAATTGGTTATTAAATTATTATATTAAACATAGAAATAATTATGTGCCTTTATTTTAATGGATCATTTTAATGATAGACCCAATTACAATGACCTCAAATTTAACTGTCTTAAATATTTCAGTCTGTATAAATGTTCACAAATATAGACATCAATTTATTAATATTCAAATCGGAATTGAAATAACGAGTCTCTATTTCCGATATAAGATTGTTATTTCAATGAAAACAAGTTACTAAGAAGTGAAACAGTTCTGAATAATTAGTTTGAATCAATAATTACAGGGAATGCCTTCTGAAAATCGAACCACTATTATTAAGGCTAATTGCAGTTCCTTTATACATTTTTTCCATCGTTGAAATTTAAATAGATGTTTTTTTCATTAATTTAATTTGTCCTTAATAAGTTTTCTTCGTATATTTTTAGTAAAATGTTATCTCATCATTTTAATTGAAATAAAAAAGGAGTAGTTAGTGGTTTGAATTAGAGAAATTATATTCATAAGTGAAGTGATTGTGTATGCGATTGTGTACGCGTGTAGTTCGGTTATATCGCGTTTTCAAGAAAATATTTCAAAAGTCTGGGATAAAAACTATCCTATGTTCTTTCTCAAGGTCAATTCTATCTCTGTACCAAATTTCAATAAAATCAGTTCAGTGGTTTAGGCGTGAAAGCGTAACAGACAGACAGACAGAATTACTTTCGCATTTATAATATTAGTAGGGATAAATAATGAGTAAATTCTTTCAGAATGTCACGAAACATCGCGTTACTCCTCATCCTAGTCACGTTATCATCAGCTGCCTCGCAGACCTTCCAGTATTCCAGAGGTTGGACGAATGGCAAGAGAGATGGAAATAGGAATGATCTTCAGAAGATTCTCAGTCCGTGTCAGATGCACAAACTGAGGGCGCTTCTGAGAGGAAAGTCGCTTACTGATAGCGTAAGTTTAAGAGAATTACCACTAAGTAAAACATCTATAACTAATCAGTTGCTTTAAAATCAACATCAATTAGCGAGTAAAACTAACTAGTATTAATCTTGTACTAAATTTACAATTATATGTATTTAAAGCTTCCAGTATAACTTATTGGTTAAATTAATAGTATTTCAATTTTCAACGTTACTTGTCAAACCTTTCTATAGTATAGTATAGGCTAGTATACGTATATTTTATTCAAGGGTGGTGGAAGATGTCTTAATAGTAATTTAAAATGTTATGTATGAATATTAATATTTTAGTTCTCGTTTATTTTGGGAGATAATTGAGATATATTGAATTGTACAGTTTTTTTTAAATAAAATCGTGACTTAATGAGATTGTGGAGTCTTAAATATTTTTAATATAGAATTAATTATATTTTGATTGCTCATTACGAACTTACTTATTTTGATAACTTTATTTGTTTTAGTTTAAAAAAATCCATAATAGTACCTACTACATTTACAAAAGTAACATTAATCTTATTTGATATTATAGATATGAATGAAATAACTATTGATAACTTTTTAACATTCTAATTACATTTAAAATTTAACTCTATAATTTTCAATTTTATTATTTACAGTTACTACAGCCCTGTGGGTACTACGATCAAAAGGAACAGACTACGAATGAAAGGAAATCCTTCAAAACGAACCAGGAATCTCTTTACGACGTGTTTCAATAAAAAGAAAACTAAAGAAAAAACGTCAAATTTTAAAAGCCACTTAATTTTAATATTCCAAGCATTTCCAGAACCACCTACAAGATAAATATAAACTATTATTATTTTAACCGAAATGGCGACACAAATAAAATATTAAAATAACGGGATCAAAGGTTAATTTAAAAATATATTTGATTATTGTATAAAGATATAGTTATAATTAAATTTCAAAGCATATTATGGCTGGTTTTATGCTTTGAAACGAAAAACTACATATATACCTATAGCTAATTTAATTAAATATAATAGATTTAAATCATTATACCTTGAAAACTATAACTCAGTTAACTAATATAACTTATGTATTAAATTATTAATAATATTTATGTTAAAAAAATATATGACAAATGTTCTTTATTATTAAATAAACGATTACGAAGTTTATAATGTTTTATTACGGATTTTAAACTTATTATATCCTCAGAGTTTCCGTTGACTTTAAAATCTTTTACTTAATATTTAATCATTGTATCTTTGAAAGAATATCAAACTATAATACTTTAGGACTAGTTGACGGCTTACTACGAGATCGTCACACTCCATACGGATTGTTTCAAGTTTTGCATTTATAAACATGTTTTGAAAAAACGGGAAACTTGTAATAGATAGAAAGAGTACTTAAAATTGGCTTTGATTGACTGAGTACATCAAAAGAATTCATATATGTAAAACTTACAAACATCGGAAATTTTTACTGATTTTTATTTATACTATTAGTACAATGTCCAACTGAAAAATATTATTTTTCAATTTATATAATTCTTACTATTAAAATAAAACTATGATTTTCGGATTTACATGGCATTTTTCATAATTAAAAAATACTCTTTTTTGGTCATCTTGTCTGTCTGCGATTATGGTTGCTACAAAGAAACTGAAACGTTGGGAGTTTTATTAAGCTTAAAATTATAAAAAACGCGTAATAAATATTAGTAGTATTTAAATGAACACTCAAGAAAGTCTAAAATCTCATTATGATTAACTATTATTATTAGAGTGATTTTTTTTTTATTTTCTTTTTCATGTAAATGCTTTGAATTATTTTAAGAGTTTGATCAGTGATTTTACAAAATATGGTGGTTATTTTAATTCACGCAGACTCAAATTTCAAGTCGCATATTTCGTTACTAATATTCAATTGTCCTGAGAATTCGATTTTACTCCATAAATCGCATATTTTTCGAAATATGTTAGGCTTTTATAAGATCCGACAAAGTTTCACTTTCATCGTCCGTTCAAAAAAAGTATTGAAATTTTAGGTACTTTTACGGGCTTTAGTTATTGAGACGAAACCTATAAGGATTCAATGGATTCATCATTCACCGTGTGGGTATCGGAACCATCGCGTTGCAGGGAGAAGAACTTCAACAGTGCCTGGGATTTGCTACCCAGATGTAGGTTTAAGGGCCCCCTATCTAACGCGTGTTTAACGCTCACCTCCACCGTCCAAGCTCTTCTCTCTACCTAACCAAATTCGAAACGAACCCACATTTGAAAGAAATGTGCTGCCTTCAAAGTAAGTTCCAAGAATGAATTGATATTAGTTCTGGACAGGCTCAAAGTCTTTGAGTAGGTTGTAGAGAGATTTAGCCGTTATACAACGAGAAAATAAAAAAGTGCGTAGAGAATCGTTTTATATCGAAGATAAGTTAAAAATATTTCAGAAGTTACGAATTAGAATTCAGCATTCACAAAAATATCTCTATCATTGCCAGTAATGTCACAAGAATTAAAATGAGTTGTGGGTTGAGAATAGAATGAAGTGCGCTGTTAAATCTTATATTAATAAGTGGTTTAAATTTTAATTAGTAAAAATACATAATATTCTACTACTGCAATTAAAATAATTTGGAAAATAAGACCTGCTTAAATTATTTGATTCCGCCATCTTGTGCATTTTCATAAAACAATTTACTGAACGACAAGTGACATCTAGCGTTGAATAGAAATATTACTTAGTTTGGCTTTTGAATACTAGAGTGCGCTTTTTAGCATCGGAAAGCTGTAAAGTGAAAAGACTTCGAGCAGCTTGTTGCCAAGTTCTTAATTCTGTTTACATAAATAGTGTTTATAGAAAATGATTATAATTTTATATAAGTTATGTCAATTTCTAATGTTAAGAAGTCCCATTATATTGATTGACGTTGATTTAAAAATATAGACATGTATGTATGATTTTTTTTTAGTAATTAACCTTTCTAAATATGGTGTATTTACATACATATGTTTTATTAATAGTTATTAATTTATTGTGAGAAGGAATTCTCGATATCTTTTTTGTGATTCCTATATTCTTTTTTAAAATAAGTACTCCATTTTCTTATTATATACCTATATGAACAAAATATTAATAAAATACGTAGTATTATAACGAGGTGTATATTTATCACGATCAACATTACTGAGTGTTTTATCGTAAAAAAAATTATACACACGTCTTGTGTGTAGGTGTGTGTTAGCTTTCTTTTGCATAGTACGTAATAATTTAAAAAATAATTAAATTAAACCGAAAACCTTTCTTAGATACTTTTTCTTCGCAAACAGACTTATAATATTAATGAACAGTAAAAATTTAAGAAATTATTATAATAACTCTATTTGTTTCACCTAAATAAGAAATTACTCAAACAATCTCGAATACCAAATATTGACAACAAGACTGACAATAACTTTAGATGTAAGTAGAAAATCTATTTCTATGCAGAATTGATGAAAATATGCTTGTTTAACTTACTGCTTTACCTAATATTATTATAGTAAATTGTTTTTAATATAAATGTATGAGCCTAAAGCATTAAAGTGAAATCAGAGGGAGACAAAAATATATTTCAAAACTAGCTTTCCGCCCGCAGCTTCGCCCTCGTGGAGTTTCAAAAGTCTGGGATAAAAACTATCCTATGCTCTTTCTCAAGATCAACTCTATCTCTGTACCAAATTTCATTAAAATCAGCTTAGTGGTTTAGGCGTAAGCATAACAGACAGACAGACAGTTACTTTCGCATTTAAAATATTAGTAGAGATTAAATTCTTTTCCGAATAGTTGTACTCCCATTAATATATATACTTTTTAATTGTTCATTATTTTTAATTTATGAAGTACCTAACCGAAGATTTATTTTATATAATATACATAAATAGTATATAGGGGAGAGTCGGATATATCGTACCACTTTTCACTTTAACTCAAATATTTCGACTATAACACGTCTTATAATAATTAATACATATGTAAAATAAAGTTTCATATTTTAGCTTCCTAAGAAGAAGAGAACAGATCCTTGCGATTATTCTAACATTGTTAAAAATGCTTTTTTATAGAGGCTTGCCATCGGTACGATTTAGCCGACTAGTCGTTTTAATCGTACCACTAAGTCTAAGTCTAAGTCTAAGTACCTACCTACGTTTCTCGCCTCCGAATACTCTTCATTCTCTCTCGTGGCAAGTCATCACTTTATTTTTTGAGTACATATTCTCTGTTTTAAGCTATAACTAAGGGATAGTGTTTTAACATTTTCGACTTTATTTCTACTTACCATAAAATTGAACAACAATCAAACTTTATGCAGTTTATATAAAATATAAATATACGAATTCAATAGGTACTATAAGTTTAATTAAATTAAGATTCGATAAAAATATTACAAAATATTTATAATATATCAGAATTAACGGAATTAAAATCATTGTTCTTAATATATATCTTTTTATTGCATCGTTTTATTTTTATATCATAAGCTAGATTTAAATAGCTAGGTACATCTAAATCAACATTTATAAAATTGAGTAAAAATATAGAAAAAATTATTTATAAGCAATTTTTTTAAAAGATCAATAATTTAGTATATATATGTAATAAATTCAAAGTAAATAATGTTACATATAGTCAACAAATTTCTAATGGCCGTTTAAACGTCTATGTTTGACATTATTTTTTTATCGACTAGCATTTATTCGTCATTAAGACCTGTAATTTGGAGCCGATCTTCAGTAATTTAACCTCATTTCTGTGACCAAATAATTTTTCCACCCTTAAAGTTCAAGTAACTTAATATTAAATTATTTTATTATGCAAAATAGTAAAAATATTCAACATAAAAAGCATTTCTAGTAAATAAAAGGTTTTAAATATTTAAAGCATAACCCTAAACATTTTGAATGTTGATGGTTTTCTGTTCGTATTTTTTATTAAATTGTTAAAGAAATAAGTTTATAACGAAGTTTAATAATGCAAATTATTTCCAAAACTATTAATATAATATCCACTTATCCAAGAAATCATTAGATAACTATATATATAAACAAAACAATATTATTTTATCTAAAAATAAAATCCAGTATAACCCGTTATTAATAATATAAATAGGCTGTATGATGAAAACCAATGCCTCATACGTCAAACACTTTAAACCACAATGACATAAAGGATCTTTTATCTCGAATAACGAATAATTAATTTGAATTCGGAACACGAGTTCATTCCAAATTCAAATATCTATAAGGCAAAGCAACTCCATATTCGCTTTATCATACCATAACAGCCTTTGGCACTCCGAATGTCCAAAGCAATACAATAAACAAGCTATCTTCAGCGATACATTATTCCAACTTATCTATGACCATAATGCTTGGGATCTATTTTATTATAAAGTGCATTGTCTATGGGAGCTCGGTCGGACTAACGTAAATAATTTAACTGTCTTAAAAGATTCAAAAATAGTTTCCTAACATCACCCCCCCTAATATAAACACCATTTGTCAGGTAACTCGATTTAAATGGACTAAGAGTTTCAAGAACACGCCCTCTCATGGATATTATGTTGTCTCACTCATTATATGATGGAGAGCATATTGAGGTCTCGCTTTGGCCGTTCCACTTTCAAATGTTCACATTCTCGTGTGTTTAACATATAAAGTTGTAACTGAATACATTAACTTGGGATAATGGACTCTATTTATATAGTATCAAAGTCTATATTTGTATGTGGTGATCCTAAATGGGGGGATACGTGTAAGCAGGACGGATTGTGCCAGCCGTTCTGTTAAAGTTAGTGAGTCCAAACGAGTTTTTATGTTTGGAAATCGCATTAAGCTTTTGTCGGTAAGTGTGGAACTCAGCGGGCATAGTTGAGCCGTTTGTGTTCTAACTATAACGTCGATTGTGATTGGGAAAATTACATACGCGACTTATAAAATATTAGTTTTATATATATTAGTTTTTTGTTAGTGTTTTAACATGTATTGTATGTGAACTTAAGTGTTATAAAGATGTCGTCTGTGCATTCTGATGATGATCAAGAAGAGATAAATGTTGATTCTGATAGTAGACTGTCAGCTCAATATGAGAGAAGCATTGCTTCTGATAGAGATTCCATACATAGTTACAACGAGAGATACAGAGAATCACCACACGATCATCTCACTGATACCCAGCAGAGGGTAAACTTACCTTTCAGTATATCACGCTTGTTGGGTAAACAGTTTGAAGATATTGATAAGAGGAATTCAGCGGAGAGTGATGATAGAAGCGATCAAGATACTGAGTCTGAAGGGGCTAAAGATGATTCTAAAGAAGCTGGTCTAGCGTTGAACTTTAGCCATAACCCGGGATTGTATCCTAACTCAAGTCTTTTGCTAAGGCCGGGATTGAATCTAGGGGCTGGTTATGGATTCCCGGGTAATCCCGGAGTTGTTAGAGTGCCAGCACATAGAGCGTTAGGGGCTTTGGGAGCGTGGGGCGTAGCCCTAGATCCAATGAGACAAGCGGCTGCTGCGGCCTTCGCCCATCAAGTTGTGAAAGATAGATTAAACGGTCAGTATTATATTTTATTCATACATATATATATTTTTTCAACTTTCGTATGTTTCAAAATCAATAAAATATTTCACCAAATATGTACTTATCATTTTGAATTTGAAAATTAATCTCGAAACGATAAATCTGTTTAAGTACCGAGTAAATCCTATCTCTGAATATAAATAACAAAAAATAAGGTCCGTTTTATGTAGTCATCATCGTAAAGAAGCGGTGTCGGGTGAAATGTCTATAGGTTTTTTTTTGTATTCTTTTTGGAGGTGAGATTGTAGGCGCCTGTAATTTGTCGCGCCGTTCGTCGCCTTATTTGGGACTAATTTATTTGATGTTGTAAAAACCTGCTTCGAACTACTAGTTATCGACTTCCGATAGTTGTTATTATATTATATTATTATAATATCATATGTTTGATATATGAATTGATGATTGCATAAAATATAAAATAAATAATAATCAGCTACCTAACATATACAATTTAACGAGTTATAATTTGTTTGCATATGATAATATATTCGGCACGTCATAAATAATATTTTTTATTAATATACCTAAATAATATTCTAATGACTCAAAACTACGAAAAAGACATCAACGCTCCTTTGATATAAACCTCTTTTCACAATCCTCAGTGTACACAAACAACCTTTTTTGTTTGCAAAAAAAATATCGAACCTGTTAAATTGGTCGTGTGGGTGAAATTGTGTATTTTTTGCGACCCCCCGCACAGAGGAAGTCCAGTCTGTAATTGAGACAGAAGCGTCGGAAATACTGATGTCGTGACGGAAAAAAAAAACACCTTTGTCATTTCAGCGCCAATAATTTGACAGATCATTTTTTTTTTATTGAGCAATCGGGTTTATTGTATTCTGCTTTTTTATTCGTTTTAGGTATTTGAGTTTTTTAAATTAGAATTTTATATTAATAGTGCCAAGTATATACCTATATGTATGTTGTATACATATTTTAATATATTAAAACTTAGTATAGGAGCGTAGTTATTGAATTTGAATGCCATAAACTTATCGAATTGCGTGACAAAATTAGAACCGTTTTTTTGACATTGCCAATTATTATCTATTTTTTACTAAAGTTGTTATATCTTTGTTACGGTTGAAATATAACAACTATTGCTTATAAAAATGAGATGAATGTAGGTCGGAAATAATGATTAGGTAATAATTAGTTATAGTTTGGGTCTCAGAATTCCCAGTAGGTCGGTAACATTGAAGTGATGAAGAATGCGAATGGACATGATCTTTTAACGCCAATAATTCGACAGATTTTTCATAAGTATAATTTGGAATTATATAAAAAATAGGTAATTTATATCTATAATGCCATATTTATACAAAAAAATACTTAAGATAATGAAAATGCTAAATAAAAATCGGTTAGTATATTTTCGCTTATATGTTTGTCAATAAAAAAGGTCAATTAATATTCTATTATCCAAAAAATATTATTTTATTGATTTCACAAATATTAATATTTGAATAAATATCATAGTCGAATATTCAGCGCTAAAATAAACTAAGGTTATGAGACAAATTACAATATTTAATGGTTATTCAAATTAAATGTTTGTGTTAAATTTCGTTACTTAATTTAAATAACAACTCCGATGAATATAATAGGTTTATTATATGAAACAGAATACAGATAAAAAATACATTCTGTCATTTTGAGTGGCAATCTTAGGCTGATTTTTTACGAAATAATCACTATGTATATAAGCAAAATATAAAAATTGTATGAAAAAAGTATTAATTTTACGCATTATTGTGCTCTAGAAAGCATTGTGAATGATAATTTTTATAAAAATGATCCAGACCGTATCTAAATGGTTGCGTTTCCGTCAAATTGTGGTTTCCATTGTCACTTAGTGGCTTTTAAGCAGAAAGTTGTTATGCAAGCTTCTTAGAGAGTCGAAAATTACTAAATCATAAAAAAATATATAACTAATTATGTATAATTTATATGAATTATAATATATTAAACGATGATATATAATATGTTATTTAATTTTAGAATTTCTTATCATATATTTATTGTGATGCCCAAAATATTAACAAGATAATGCTATTAAGAATTAACATGTGTTAAAATTATTTCTCACGTTTGTTTTTATAAAAAATATTGATATAAATATTTATGTTTTGTTATATAAATGTAATGATGTGTTAATAGTATTATAAGAAAAAGAATTACTTGTATAGAATTTTATAATATATTTTTTATATATTAAAAAATCGAAATTTTATAATACTGGAAAGTCAGTGGTGGCCTAGTGGTTAAAAGGCCCGCTTCTCATGCACGAGGGCGCGGGTTCGATCCTGGCCCTGGCAAGTACCAATGTAATTTTTCCGAGTCATATGTACTTTTTAAGAGTATTTAAACATCACTGATTAATGCATTCCCAAAGAGGGTTGATGTCAGGCAGGCGGCCGGTCGTAAAAACAATTAGCCAAAACTATTCACAACTTGTAAGGCAGACCCTGGCTAAAGCTGGGAAATTGCCAGGAAGAAGAAGAAGAATTATATAGTATATTTTCAGTATATACCTATAAAAATATTACGAGTCTTGAAATTTGTTAATAGTGGATGGTAATATAAATTTCACGATCATTGAACAAACTAATGACGTGACCACTTCCTGCTAACACTAGAAAAGTAAAAATTTAATGCTTCAAATGTATGTATCTTGACATTCATTTATATACTAGTTGTAGAACGCGACTTCGACCGCGTGATCATCAGCGTTACGCTCAGAGCTTGTATTGTATCAAAACAATGCGCATATCAACCTATTTTGGAGATTTTTGATTTTAAATAAATTAGATACCGACTAAAGAATAACTTTGTGATTTTTGAATTTGAAAAATGTATAGAAAAAATCATTCAAATCGGTCCAGCCTATACGGAGTTCAATAAAAAAGAATTTATTCCAAATCCCTACTAATATTATAAATGCGAAAGTAACTCTGTCTGTCTGTCTGTCTGTCTGTCTGTCTGTCTGTCTGTCTGTCTGCTACGCTTTCACGCCTAAACCACTGAACTGATTTTAATGAAATTCGGTACAGAGATAGAGTTGACCTTGAGAAAGAACATAGGATAGTTTTTATCCCAGACTTTTGAAAGGTTCTCTTGGAAACGCGATATAACCGAACTCCACGCGGCGAAGCTGCGGGCGGAAAGCTAGTATTATATATATAATTTCTCCCGTTTTTTACACATTTACCACTATATCTTTGCTCCTATTGGTCGTAACGTGATGTTATATAGCCCACAGCCTTCCTCGATAACTGGACTATCCAACGCAAAAAGAATTATTCAATTCGAACCAGTAGTTTCGGCGATTAGCGCTTTCAAACAAACAAACTCTTCAGCTTTATAATATTAGTATAGATATATACTAGGTTTTGCCCGCGACTTTTCCGCTCTATGTCCGTCTCCTGGTCCTAAGCTAACTCCCTACCAATTTCCAATCATATCAATACAACCGTTATAAGTGTTACTAACACAACTTTTATATTATATATGTATATATAGTATTATATTTGTCAATAAAATTTCTTTTACCACATAATAGCATCAGTAAAAGAGACTAAGTTATTCTTAAACACAGTGAATATAACCGTCATCAGCCTATTAGAGCCCACTACTGAGCAAAGGCCTCTTTCTCACATGGAGAAGGTTTCAGCATTAATCACCACGCTTGCTCAAGACGGGTTGGTGATTTCAAACTTATAATTGTGAAATTATAAGACTAGGTCTTTGACGATGTTTTCCTTCACCGTCTGTCAGTGATGTCTAAATACTCTCAGAAAGTACGTATGACTCGGATAAATCACATTGGTACTTGCTAGGATCGAACCCGCGCCCGCATGCATGAGAGTCGGGCTCTTAACCACTAGGCCGCCACTGACTAGGCCAGGGTCTGCCTTACATGTTGTGAATAGTTTTGGCTAATTTCATGTTTTTACGACCGGCCGCCTGCCTGATATCAACCCTATTTGAGAATGCATTAATCAGTGATGTCTAAATATTCTTAGAAAGTACATATGACTCGGAAAAAACACATTGGTACTTTCCAGGATTGAATCCGCGCTCTCACGCATGAGAGGATGACCTTTTAACCACTAGGCCACCACAGCCTGATCCTCATATATATTAATATATAAGTAATTATAATGTGTGAATCTTAGTAATATAAATCTTTTATATAAATTAAAATGATTCTATATAGATAAAGATTGAGATGATAGAATAAAAATTTTTACATGCGTTATCTAGTTAGCGATCTAAACCATTATAAGTGACCTTAGTTTTGGAATATTTTAATTTATTATCTAGTTTGTATTGATATATCCTTTAAAATTTATAATTAATAATTTTATAGTTATCTTTAAATATTATGAAATCCGTGGTTTTTCCAATTCAATAAATGTGGGCAAAATAAGGGCAGTGTCGCATAGATTTTATATTATAGCTTTCGGTGTGACATTAATAATAGTAATTTAAATAAGGTGTCGGAAATATGATATCAAAAATATATATTAATCAGATTTTAATATATAATAATCTGCGAACACGAATATAGAATGGAAAACAGTGATGAAGACTAAAATAATATAAAAAAACTAGAATAATTATTATATTATGAATTTTGGTCTTTTTTATTAGAGTTCTATCGATTTAAATTATTAATTAAGGCATATTATTTTTATGAGTTGTCTTCGTGTTCTGCAAGAACCAGCTATCATAGATTATTATCTATGGAGATAAACATTTTATTACCGTATCAATCAATGACAGCATCTGTTAAAGAAAAAAAAACTTGTATCTTTGGTCATTTTATAAAAAGGTTTAATAGTTATGTATCAAATTACGTTAATAGCTAAGATGTAGTGATAACTTCGATATTTATTTTTTTTAATTCGATTCGAGTCTCATATTAATATTTTTTATCTGTATAATCTTTGTCGCGGTGGTAATTA